CACACACACACACACACACACACACACACACACACACACACACACACACACACACACACACACACACACACACACACACACACACACACCATGAGAGCAAGACACTTAAACACATGCATATACTCGCACAAATATGCACAGAAATGAGCTTACGCACACCTGGTCTGCGTACTCAAACACACTGGCATGAATGTGCGCACACACGCAGACACGCTTTTATTTGATGTTCTGAGCTGTGATGATGACAGGAATTAAAATAGAAAAGCACATTAAGGGGGACAGGGGGATAATATGATATGTCATCTTAAACACCCAAAGCTTAGGTACGACAATCCTCTCACTGCGCTCCACCTATTCATCAGCACCGCACTGCCATATAGTACATTTCCTGTCTACTCTATGTGATACTCTATGTATATGAGAGAGGGAGAGATAGAGTCACACCACTGGTGAACAGATGTTCTCAGCCCACACAGATCTACTCAGGCTGTAGAGAGATGACAGTTTGATCAGGTTGAACTGAAGGATGTCTCTACTCAGCTGTATCTAGACATCTGTCTTCTGTCTGATTATGTTGTCACTTTGCTTGCTGTTGATTAGGAGAATGTCTGGTGATAAAACTTTGATATTCACTACTTTAAAGCTACGGAAGAGAGATGAAGAAAATCTCCCCTCCTCTGCTTCACGCTCGGCACACAACTATCTAACAACTCTGACTCGGAGCACGGACTCCCTGCTTCAGACTCAACTGATCAGATGTCCAATTGTCAAAATGCAGTTTGACAGCAAACAGCTGAGTGAATGTACGATCAGTATTGTAAAGACTATGAATAGGCCTGCCACTAACGATTACTATGATAATCTGCAGATTATTTTTTCAATGAATCAATGAATAATTGCTTTGTTTTTTTAAAACAGAAAACGTGTATTTAATTACGCAGAGGTGACATCTTCAAATTGCCTTTTGTCCAACCAGCAATCCAGACAAAGATCAGCAGAATCATATGAAACCGTGAAAATACAATAGGCATACTGTCACATTTGAGAAGGTGGAATTGGCATTTCTGCAATTTATTGACTATAGAACAATTAATCTAGTATTAAGGTAGTAAGATTCATTTTTTGCTGAATGACTAATTGATAAATCGACTAATCATCTCAGCTCTAATTCTTTGGTGTGGTTTTTCTTGCTTTTACTTTTTTGCATAAGCATTTTATCAACTTATTGTCATAAATTATGGAAACAGTCCACATAGGAAACATTAAACCAGACCACAATCTTTCTCTAACCTTACCCAAGTGCTGTGAGTGCCTAAACATAACCATGACAAAGTTTAATAATGCTGTACAAATGAATATTGTACTGCAAAGATTGGATATTTTTTATATGTATGCATGTATTTAAAAATATGTGTTTAATCTGATACATTATCTGTGAATATTTACTTTAGTGAGAAATTACATTTATACAATATATAATATATTTATATTTTTGTATAAATGTCCTCTATGGGAGACAGGGTTGCCTATTTATGTACTGTACAGTGTCCTCAACCAGCATGGGTTTTATGTTTGCTGAATTCTCCTCCAAGGAGCTTTACTGTGAATTTCATAATATCTTCAAGTAAACCTTGGAAAAAATTTCATATACATAGTGCTCAACAAGTTTTCTTTCTTTCACTCTCTTTCACACACACATGAACATGCAAAGGTACACACACACAAGTGCGCACAAAGTGTGGGCTGATCAGCTCATAGCCATGCACACACAAAACAGATGGAAACAGGTCAGGTTTGATCACTCTCTCTCACTCACTCACTCACACACACACACACACACATACACACACACACACACACACACACACACACACACACACACACAGCAAATAAGCAAGACAGGCCTGGCCTGTGTGTAGGGAGCTGTCCATTCCCCAGTGCTGATATCTCCATAACGTGCCACACAAGTGAGTGTTTCACCTTTCACTATTCAGTCTGACTGATATAGGTAGTGTTTTATACTCACTAGAGTTCGATACTGTTGCTGCCCTTATTACTTTTCTGGTGCACTGCCAAGCCAACCCCGTCAATCCTTGAATTTGGGTCACCCACAGCAAAGCTCTGAGGCAACAGAAAAAAAACTAGCACAGACAGCCTCTGTGTCTTTCCTCCTTTCTTCTTTTATTATGATAGTAGTAAAGCAAATTAACATGCCAATGATGCAAAATAATAATCTGCAGTCACAGTATTTGTTTCAAATTTCAAACAAGTCAGTGATCAGAATAGGAATTATAATAGTTTTAATGTCAATGTAACAAAAGAATCTAAGCTCAAAGGTCCCCTACTAGTGATTGGAACTGGCACATGCTGTGATATTATATTGGTGTTAATATTTATTTTGTTCAATATTTTACAGTGACTTTCATTGCTGTACATAAGTTTTGTTTGTAAAATGTTATTGAGGAGCTGGATAGAAGCCAACTTTTATGATCTGGTAAACAATAGCACAGTCACACGTTGCTTGCAGCGTATTTTCCACCCCGTGTTTCTCAATGTTTAACTGCAAATCAGTGAAAAAAGGTTTTATTCATGTTCTTATTCAAATGTAACTTTTATTTTATTAACTTTTATATTTTTCATAGGTAAGACCATACTCAGTGAATTCAAAACTAATAGCAAATGTCCCAGCAAACCTATTCATAACCAAGGCTGTTATATACCAACATATACATATATGGTAGCATATACCAATCTAACATTACAGTCAGTTTATTAGGTCTTAATGCATAAATCACTATATATTGAATAGTCATAGAACTAATCACAAGGCTCAATTGATACATGAATATGATGCAACCTACCCCTGGATGTTTCTTCACATGTTGAATCGCAGTCTTAATCATCTTTAGTATTCTCCCAAAAACAACAAATAAAACCTAAACCATATAAAAATGAACAAACTGACAGCTATACTCTGACGAATGACTCTGTGTGAATGAACGTCTCTGTGCAGATTAATAGAAAGAGCTGTTTGTTAGCTGTAAGTACAGTGTGTTGGCCAGTGCGGTAAAACCTGTTGCCAATCCCCCCCCTTCTGCTCTGTCCCGCTCCCTCCCACCCATTGGATAAATGGTCAGGGGGGGGCAGAGAGGGAGAGAGAGTGCTAATCCTTATAATCACATCATTGAGGACACTGTAAGTTTCCACTGAGGTTTCATTGGGTACTCTGTGTGACAAAATGTTTTGTTATACAACAACAAAACCGCAGCTACTGAAAGTCAGATTTTTACTGGCACAAAAGACACAGATATTTTTCAGACATTTCCTACTGGAGGTGCAGCAGCAGTAGAGGAGCCAGCTCCTCCTATAATGGCTTCATATTTAGACCTCACATCCACACCACAGCCATTGTGTTGGATATTTCATGTTGTGTTCTTGTTTTTGAAATGACGAGACACTCATTTTGTGCAGAGCCATCACTTTAAAACACCTCCCAGCGGCCATTAAATGTTGCAGAGTGTCTTGTTCAGTGTAAAGAGGAGAGAAGTAATAGCAGCGTCCAACATGTCCCTTGGGTTGAGACCTTTGTCTCAGGCATGATAATGGCAATTGATTAGTCAGTGATGCAGCACCTGCAGACCTTTCAGGTTCCTTAACAACACTTTGTAACCTAATGTAATTAACATCAAAATGCTCTGCTAGGCAAAATGCACAGGCCATCACTATTCCTTACTTAAAGTACCTGTTGTGTTCTCACCATTTATCATGCTTAAGTGGATGAGGCAAAGTGGTTTGATTTTTAGCCATGCTGGTGCCGTGACTCTAGGGACGGTAACGTACATCTGTTGGGCCTCCACTTTCTGTCCGGTCCATACTGAAATAGCTCAAGAATTTGGTACATTAACATTCAAGCTCCCTAGAGGATGAATACCACTGACTTTGGTGCTCTTCTAAATTATCCTCCTGCCCTACAATGAGGTTGACATTTTTACCTTTTGTGTGTGTATTGCCATAAAATTTGGTACAGATATCCATGGTGTCCAGATGATGAATCCTAATGACTTTTCATCAACACGTTTAGCATCAAAGTTTTCGCTTATCCAGCAAAATATTTTAACATGTAACTTATGTACTTTGACAGAATTTGTGTACAGACATTCATGGTTCCAAGATGATGTATCCTGATGACTTTGAAATGGTGTTTTCTCACCAGCAGTCAGAAGGATTGGCATGAATTTTGTTACAGACATCCTTGACCCCCTCAGGATGACTAGTAAGAACTTTGGCGATCCCTTTGGCAAGTTAGCATTGTCATTGTGAGCATGTTAGCACGTTAGCGGCAGTACAGCCTCACAGCTGATTTTATTACTGTAGACTATTGGCTTTGTTAAATCACAACTTAAACTTGTTTCTGTTTACATAAACCTGTCATAAGACATGAACTTGAATGATCGTGTATGGAATAAAACAAATTTTGCCTACAGTATAAGGGTTTAGGAGATTAAAGACTACAAGACAGGACCCCGTAGTAACTTTAGGCTAAACCTCATTTAACTGTCCGAAGACTCACTTTCACAGCCTGCATTATTTAGGATGTGCACCAATTTCCCCAACTTGTGTTTACTGTATCAAAGTTGTCCAATATTTGGGAGTGATTTATGCTGTGGTGCCTCCATCCTGCAGTCTTGTGAGTCACCGTAAGTTGTTTTACCTGACATTTGTCAGTGGAAAGAATGCTATTTCTGTGTACCACATGACAAGGGTAATGGGTGCAATTTTTCACCCAGCAAGGATAGAGCGATTGATGAAGGTTGATGGGGAAGGAAAGGTTTTCAACAAAAGAGGATGGGGGGGAAATGAGATGCATTAAGACGACAGAGGAGAGAGAAAAAGTCAATATGTGCTCCCCTTCCCTCATCAGTCTCCTCCATTGTTCCCCCTAACAGATTGTTGGCCGAGTGTTTAAAAGAAAAGACGGGGTAAGAGTGCAATATCCAAATCTGTTTCCCACTGTTGCTGTAGCTAAGAGGAAGAGTGGCTTTAATGAGATTTTCTTTGTAAGAATGGATGCAGTGGGTCGGGCCTGTCTCGAGCCCTGACCCCGCCCCCAAACTAACCACCACTACATTCCTACATGCTCATATACACTTTTGAATACAATAGGGCTGGGCTGCCCCCCCTAATAGTCGACCAAATGTTTGTTGATGAGAAAAGTCTTAGTTGACCAAGTTTTTATTGGTTGGTTGGTCGCAGGAGAAAAAAAAAAATCAAGTCAGTCACAGACAGACATTGTTTACACAGCTGTCCCCTGCGGTTAATGGATAGTAATGTAATCTAGCATCTTGGGTTCACCTAACTGGTCATAAACGGGACATAGAGACAAAGTATGATGAACAGCAACAACAAATTCTTTATTTTTCCCTAACACTCTGCCAACAACTCTTGCCTTATGGCAGCCATACGGCAACTCGTATGGGACACACTACCTCGAATATCAAAACACAGTGAACACTGGACCGTTACAGTTGTTACATATGTCAGACAGGAAATCCAAAGTGTGGAACGACCCCAAGAAGGTGACATGTAAACGCTGCAGGCAAACATTTGCCATCATTCAGTGACCTATGTCAGTGTTGTGTTCACAGCTTGTCTCCCCTGCCCCCAAGTGGCCAAAACGACAGTTATTGCAGGTTTAAAACATTTAAAATTTTTCTCGTTTTCTGTCTTTGGTCTTTCTCTCTCTCTCTCTCTCTCTCTCTCTCTCTCTCTCTCTCTCTCTCTCTCTCTCTCTCTCTCTCTCTCTCTCTCTCCGAAACAGATATTCCCACACATGTAATGCAAATATACACGCTTGGATAAGTACACCCCTCTTCATAGTGAGGTCGTGCAACCTCCTGTGTCCCAGTAATCCACCACATTTTGACACACACACTCAGGACTCCTATAAATTTTAAACAAGTTTTTCTTCCATTCCTTAGAGAGTGGTCAGTAGTTGCGAGTCCCCTCAGTGACACCAGTCTAATACATCCAGGAAATACAGGAGCCTTATCCAACTCAGTCTCCACCCATGTACAAATAAGTGGTGACCCCAGTGTGTGATCCCACCAGGATAGATTCCGAATAATAGATGGCTGTGTTACTGATTTCTCTCTTTGCAATTGTGGCTCATGATTGTACAGAGATTGACTGTGACAGTGTTTATCTTGAATTTTGACCTCTATTTCCAGATGTTGGACACAGGACCAGGGGTGCCACTATTAAATTCTAGTCTCCATAAGAAGGTGAGACAGGCCCACCCCTACCCCAATGCATGTAATTTATACTGAATATATGAAACTAGGGGTAGCTTTCTGATTTTAAGTTGCATTATTTAAAAATATTTTGTGATACTGGTACTCAACAAGTGACAACAACTTTTTACTTGATCTAACCTCATGAAAAGACTTAATGTTCCTAACATTTTGGATATTACATGTCGTACGGTGGCACCTTCTTACAAGGAAGCCAAAGGATTATTTCTCTTCTTTTCCTCTCACTACAGGAACACAATGTGTCCAGAGAAATGATGCGCTGTAAGGTGTTTTTTATTTCAGTTATACTATCAGGTGCCTCATGTGCCAAAGCTGCGAATAATTTCAGTATCAACTAACAACATTTAGTTGTGAAGATCTTGCACTTATCAGTCTCCTGTGTGTTTTAGATAAACACATCTACATATAGACTACATGTGTGCATACAGAATAATAGAGGATAAAAATCTGTAGCTGTCAGTCTGGGGCATATACTGCTCTATAAACCGTACATCATATGTATGCATTGTGTATGTCAAAGAAATTGTAAGTGAACATATTTCCCAAATGCAAAACTTGTTCTTTCTTGTTCTCTCATTGGAATGAACAGTGTTTTATCTTTTCATGTTTTATTCAGGTTTAGAATGAAGTCAATAACCTTCCGTAGACCGTGATAGATACGTACCAATTTGGATATAGAATATACATGTGGCAATGGATGTAGAGATGGATTGGGAGCTGTACAACGCCTTATGGCAGTTTCTTTAAATTACCGTATGGAACGACAACGTGATAAATAACATGCAGGGAGCATTGTGCAATCCTCCAGTGGATTAACCTTGAAAACAAAGAGTGTAGGGTTTATATAAACAGTTGGAGAACCTTGTGGCTTTGTCAGAAACAGCAACAGTTAGAGCAGACAGTGAACAGAGTGAATGTGAGAACAAGGGCCTTTTAATAGACCGCCACACTAGTGAAGTGTGATGTGTTGTGATGGATTTCATGCCAGAACCTAGTTCATTATAATTACAGCCTGCCTAATAAATCAGCATGTTTGATTTTATCAGCTGATTTTATCACAGATATATCAGTATTGGCCTACAGAACAGCTGGTATGTAAGAAGAAATTACAGTGCAGAAATCCCAAAAATATGTTTGAGTTTCATTTTCAAGCAAAAATGCCACACTTTTTTTTTTTCTTTTTTTTTTTTTCTTTTTAATTTATGGGAGCAAAAATCAAAAACGCAGTATCAGTCAGGCTTTAATTATAATAACCAGAAAACATCACACGTGTACTGTAGGAACAGAATAGAAGTAATAATAGGAGCTGTAGCTGTAATGACGTGAGCTTTGCTTCTTTACCCACACAGAGAGATGAACTTCTTTTTTCTTTTTTAGAGAAGTCTTGGCCAAGATTCACAAAGCAGAAGATGTGTGGAGAGTACGACATCTGTGGGGAATTATCCATCTGCGAGTGATCTCATTTCAATTCCTAACAGTTAGCGCACATGTAAGAAAGTCATAGTTAGACCGTGGCCATCGTTATTTGCGATTTCTCTGAGCAGAAGGTGGAAGAGAGAGTTGTTCTTAAAGCAGAAGGCTTTTCAGCTAATAGCCATGTGTGAATGTAAGCATGAAAAACAACACAATCTGTTTCCAAGTTTTTCGAGAGGCATGAAAAATACCAGTCACCGCCACTGACAAATTATTTCTGTACACTGTAGCACAGCACACACACAGACACACAGACACACAGACACA